TCTCTCTCTCTTCTCTCTCTCTCTTCTCTCTCTCTTCTCTCTCTCTTCTCTCTCTCTCTCTCTCTCTCTCTCTCTCTCTCTCTCTCTCTCTCTCTCTGCGGCCCGTACCAGGATGAGGACATAAAGGGCCAGCAATTCCGAAGCTAACATTCGGAAGAGCACAGAGTGGCTCAGAAGGAGGGCCTTTCCGAGATGTAACCTCCATTACATCAAACGGCCAAGTGAACAACCAGCTGGTGTGTTACTTTGCCTCAGCTCATCGAACACACAGAAACGGCATGAAGCGATCGACTTCGCTCCGGCCACTTCGAGGGGATTTCACGGAAGATGCCCTTGTTCTGGGCCACCTGCGGCATAGAGGGATAAATGGAAACAGCAGATCTTCACACCGAAAGGAACGAATCGATGGTGCATCGAATGCTTCGAGGCGAAAAAGTATGTATAAACGTACATGAGTACATGTTCATCGTAAACCCTCACGAAGTCAGGTGGAAAGTATTGAATCACGCGTGCAAGTGATACAAAAGTCCCAATAGGCGATTCCGGCATGCACACCAGCCCGGCTCCAAAAGAAACCCGGGATCCGTGGAGATCTTGACCACATTCTGTCGCTCCTGCCGCTAAAGGGCTACTGCATCAAGCCCGTGTGTTTTAGCGCTTCAGCCGCTAGAGCCGCTAGAACTTCAACTTGGTGTATAAGCACCCAACGTTTGAGCCTCGAAGCGCTCTCTTTGAGAAGAGCCAGTCGTTCGCATATGGCTAGAGCCACGAGCCACAATGTGAATGTCCCAGGTCTTGATGAGGTCCTCGGTAATGTGCCTCTCGCGAGGTTGCAGTCCGCAACATCTTCAAGGTCTGTGGGCACGACCACAATCCTGAAGTGGTAGCACTCTGGCCACTAAGGCACCCTATCAATCAAGAAAGCCAGCAGCAGCAGCACAGCTGAACACTATGCATCATCAGACTCATCAGCATGATCTTCTATATCAGCTTCACTGTCAACCGCATTGCCATCACCAGCAGCAGCAACACGAATGCCAGGCTGTCTGTCCCCTCATGTTCCTACTCGGTTCCAGGATCTCAGACCTGCCTGGGCGCGCCAATGATGACTTCGTCGACCCACTTGCAGGCACAAACGTTCCTGGGGTAATCTCACACAGCGCACTGGAAAGCAGGGTGGTGAAGGCTTCTGACCTCAACCAGTTTCTATTTTACGGTGCACTTCGAAGCAGCTCGATGCCTCGGTTGCTGCATAGCTGTGTCGCAGGCCCTTACTTTTGAGTCTCGGTGGACCGGAGTCTCGACGGGAAGCATGCTTTCTTTATCGCTGCAGATGAAATCCATCGACCTGGACCTGTGGTTTAGTTCACGACGAGTCGTAAGACCTTCGCAGCCCAGATTCAGCACCCGCTCGTTCAAATTCATCACCTGGCGGGGCTCTTTCAAGGAACAAGATTCTCTGGTTCGGACTTGCTCCAAGACTGCCGTAACTTGGGATAACGACTCGGAATCTGCGTTCTCCCTTCGGAATTCTTGAGATCTCAGCCGTGAAGCCGGAAGGCTCTGTCCCCGAGCTCGGCTTATGCTTGCATCGTCATAGATGCCGACCAGGAGGAAGGTGCCGAGAGCACGGGCCTCCATCAACTGCTCGTGCACAGGTGATGAGAACGGGGAACCCCAAATTCTCACCCCTAAACCCCCCCCCCACCTCGCGCATCTCCCATCGGAATGTGTACACACAAGATCAATTCAGCTGCAACTTGGCAAGCACGGTGGGGTCGCATGTCAACATCGTACATTTGGAGAATTAACCTGATGTCTACTCGAAAGGTGCTCAGACCTCCTTCAAGAACTCGGCGTGGCCGACATGAAACCTCGATTCGCCAGATCCATGTGGGGGATGCTGAAATCTGTTGCCTAGTTCTGCTCTAGCTTCACAATGAATGTACAAAACAGAACCGAGCATCACACACCGCTTGAGAACATCCATGGTCGAGCCATGTGGCATGTCGAAAGAGCCGCAGGCATAAATGACCTTATCCTGCAGGCACTGCAGGATCACAGGATGGAAAAGGCCGGCTTTGCGTGGAATTGAGGATGAGCCCGCTGGAATTGCAGATCGCAACGCACTTGACTTTGCAGGCACGAAATCCTCCGAAGTTGGCTGCCTCGCTGTGGAAAACCTGGATAGGATCTGCTGAACTCTCTGGGCTCGGGAATGGCTTCGACTCAGCTTACATGTCCAAATATCTGGCCAATGGGCTTTGGATGGACGGAATTCTGAAGCTTTTAAGGCACTTTATGCAGCATTTTTGCAGCATTTCACAAACCTGTGTCGGGCAGCTCTCGGATCCGCCGGGTGCTGGCCAGAAGCTGCACCGGAGCTTTGGTCCGTTGCCTCGGCTTTGGCAAGTCGAGCGGCGCCCAGCTCTCTGTTCTCAGGGAACGAACCTTTTGGCAACTCACCAATAAATCCGCAAACTCACTATGAGACGGTGTTGCCAGCCGAAGTACTGAGAGCCACCTGGTTGTGCTGGAGACGAGCCTGTTCGATGCACTTGTAACTCACCGAGGCTTGCCTATATTGATGTGGCTGCAGTGCTTTCGCACCACTACATTCGAACTCAGCTGTGAGCCCGAACCGTTGCTCGCCGATAGTCGCTACACAAGATCTTGACTGTCCTTGAATCTGAGGTCCAATATACAGATGGTCATGATCACCACCTCATCTCCGTCTCGAGTCAGGGCTTTACAATCATCGAAGCACCTCCCTCCACAAAGCTGCTGCTCGGCTGTGGTGCAGCTGCAGCCGTGATCTTTGTCTTGAGGGACCGAAGATCCTGGCATGCCGAGTTTGCTCGGGGGTTGGCCAGGTCCAGACACCGTTTCCTGAACGGTAGACGCCGGAAGGAAAGTGCCTGCTGCTGTGGTCGAGTGCCATCTGATAATCTCCTAACCTACTGCATCCTCTGACGTGGTGCTGCTCGTCTCTTCTATTCTTCCTAGCCTCCGCTTATATTGTGTATGGGGTTCGAGACCGCCAAACATCCTTTAGCAGTTCGCATTGACAACAGAATCTGTCGTGGAACTGGGCTGCTTCTTCAAAGTTCTGTCATGACATGTTCCTCGCTTTGCTGCCAGAGACCTGTCTGTGATTCTTGTGACAATGATCCTGTTTGCGACTACTTCATTCACATACCCGGCACTATTCTTGTGCTGTTTAGCACCGGTGATGCCCCCTTTGGATAGCACTCTGATGTGGCATTGCGATGGATCGTGTGTGACTCTTTCGGCAGCTAACATATCTTCAGCTAAGCACGAACATATTGGTCAGCTCGGGGAAACCGAGTACGGTGCTCCTCCTCATTGATTTTGTAGCTTTCCCCCAGCTGGTCCACTGCAAGCAGCGCTTCCCGCACGGAATCGGAGAAATCTACCTCATCCGGCTTTGGCTTTCACTGCAGGCTGCTTCCAGCTCACGCCCTGAGCATTGTGTCATACCCTGAGTGGTGCCGCCGTGGTGCATCCGTTCGTGTGATTCTGGCTACACATCACAGAGAGAAAGAGAAAGGGAGATAGCAGCTAGCACGATGCGCGGCATCTATTACCACAAGCCGGCGGAGCTGTTTAGCGGAATCAGCTCGATGCGAGCCATTCCAACCAGTGGAATGCAGCGCGAAAAGTGATGACACATGACACACACACTCACACACACAACTCCCGAACAGCAATGCCCGTGCGGGCGTCCGAAGAGCAAAAAGACACGACATTTATCGGAACTAACTATCCGAACTATCGTGGAGCATGATGCGATCTTTGTAAAGGAGCACGTTCGCTGTGCCTGTCATGGGCAGACTCTCTGCACGTCGGAAGCTATCAGTTCAGCTTCTCACGCGCTCGAGATGCTGAACGAAGCCCAGTCCCTTCTCTACGTGATACTCACTCAAGTGCATGAATCAGAAAATAGACATCTGAAAGATTGTATTGCTGCCGTGCAACATGCGCCGCTGGCATGGTACACCTCAATGCTTGCACGACAGTAGGACAGTAGGATGAACACAGAACTTGTGAAACCGGAGTGTTCCAAGCCAGTCTGGACGATGTACCTTCTTTGTTTCTTTTCGGTATCGTGCAACATGCAAGTTTCATCCAGCTTGAAGCGATGTTGTGCATTTGAAGGAAGGACCTGCATGCCGGCAAAGATGCTGCTCAATTGCTGCATCTGGGCTGATGCGGTAGCCTGAGGCAGCGCAAACCCTCGCACAAAGACGACAATGACAAAGCACCCACAAAGTCGACCCAAACATAAAACCAAATCGACACTGCCAAGTTGAAACCAATGTTGCATTTACCCAAGCCCAGCAACAGCAAACGTCAAGCGAACAACGCTCAACACTGCTCCAAGAGCAGACACCCTTCAAGCAATTTCGAAGATAATTTCTATGAGGCATCTAAGCATCGCTCTCATACGTGCTTCAATCTGCTTTCATGTTGGCATGTTTCCTGTCGCCGTTGGCGGCCTGGTTGCATCATGTGGACACCTCAGGTCCTACTCAACATGCGCTGGTAGCCTGCCGACCGTCTTAGAGTTGCTTCGCCCCGCTTGATTTGGAACGCTGCGGAGCGAGACTTTGTGCCGGTAGACCATGCCTTGCATACTCCTTGCATCTTGAACGTTGTCGAGAGCATTGCGGTCAGAGTTGCCCATGTTCGGCGATTGCTGGCCACCGAAGTCAGCCGGCTGGTTTCGTGACAGGGTCAGCAAGCGGCCAATAAGGTCCTTGCATGACTCATTCTTGACTCATGAGTGCTCTAGGCATTGCATGCGGAGGCACGATGTCTGTATTTGTAATTAATTAGTGCTGACAAATCTTGGCTGACATTCGTGATCAGTGTCGAGGCTGTCTGTCTACCTGTTCGGGTTATGCGCATCGAGACGGCGCCTCCGCTGCCTGCTCGCACCTGCGTGCTGGAGTGCTTCAAAGGTTCGGTGGTTGACACACCCTCCGTCCTCTTGATGATGCGAAGCCGTCCTGACTTCGACAGATTTCGACCGCCCGCTCATATTCCTATGCCCCGAGCACCCCAAAAAATAACTACGGTGACTGCCGGTTCATACACGAGGTTCTTCTCAATGACTCTCCATGGCTTCCGCCAGCAGCTGGAAAGCGGATTGTAATCTCCACTGCTCATGATCATGGTGACATCTGTCATTTCAAAATATCGTCCTGCAATGCGCATTTCATCGTAGGCGCAAACCCCCTGGGCGTTGACTGGCATGTCGTCACCTGGGTGTGAGTTTTCTTGACAGGAACTTCCCCGAGCTTGTTGCAATAGGGCACTGGGCTTTGTGATTTCAGCTGAAGGCACCGTGAATACAGAAGTCGGCGGAGGCACGTTCCAGGGTGGCCATCTCAGGAGAATAGGGGACCTGAAAGCGTTCGCTCAACTCGAACCCTGCTCTCGGACAGGGTAAGTCTCGCTGTGTCTACTCCACTCCGGGTGTAGCAGTTGACGATCTGGGCGGTCGGATGGGAAGAGATGGTTGGCACAGTGCGAACAATCTCGCAACAAGTTGGTAAACGCTGCACGTCGGAAAGCAGTTCTGGGAGTGGACCTAGGACCGAGAGGGAAAGGAAAGGAGGGGAGGGGAGTGCAGGGAATCGAGAGAGAGAGAGAGAGACAAACAGACAGAGACGGACTCAGACAGACCAGACCAGACTCGACCAGACAAGACGGACAGAGACACAAGACGGAGAGAGAGAAAGCCGACACAGCCAAGACAGACAGAGGGACAAACACACACAACAGAGAAGAAGACATCAACAAAGAAGTGAAGGAAAGGCAGCAAGGAAGCAAACAAGGATCTCTGCCACCAATGACAATGGAAGTTTAACGTCCGACCAAGACAAGCACCCTGTAGTATGAGACAGCATCGACGCCGACGATCGAGTACATCAACAAACCAGCTGGCCTCGTAGAGGATCTCGTCGATCCATTTTATGTGATCCAGGAGGCCATAGCGCTCCGTTTGCTTCATGACCTCAACTGAGAGGGTCTGCTGATGGAGTTTTGGCCTGATACTGACCGTTTTGAGCTGCGATATCACAATCGGTCCTGCTTACGCAGCTTAAGCTGCAGCCTTTCCAGGTTGCAACCCGTCCAAGTTCTAGGCAATGGGTATCGCAAGAAGCACCTGTCTAAGGCTTGCTGTACGGCATCCTGCATCCTTAAATCCCACAGCCTTCTTTTCCAGAATGCCCTCGTCTCAGACACTTCGAACAGGCTATCTGAGGTCTAGACGGGGACTGACTTGTTGTCTGCAATCTCCTGATCGGAGTGGATGCCCACCTAGTTGCTGTCCAGAATCGGCACTTTGAGGGGCTCTGTGAGGCCTAGTTTTTGTTGGACATGTGTTGAGGAATTTGCCCTGAAGCTATCAAAGGGCTGTGAGAGCGAGCCCAACGACTGGAGGGGAAGGGGAAGAATAAAGTTGGTTGTCTTGTACGCCATTGCACGCCGCCGTCAGTCGTCCTTCTCGCACTGCTGGCTTGAATCCTTACCAACAATCCAAGGCACCACAAGAACGTCACATATGCTTTTGGCTTGCCGTATGGCGTTGTAGTGCCCCGAGTGCATGATGTCGAAACATCCTCGGACGAGGGGAACCCTGGATGGGGAACCTCATGGATCCCTGCCTGACCATGGTCAATGCGGGACAGGCAACCCTCTGCAAAGCCCGAAATCTTGCACGTCACATCTGCATGAACTTCTCCACGAGAACTTGCATGCATCACTCTCTCCGCGTGCTCTCGCAGCAACTCTCAAGTTCGCTGACGACGACGACGACTTCGACCTGACCTTCTCTTAGGTAGAACTTCCGACAAATTTGGAATGTCATTGAAACCAAGCAGGATTGCAAGGACCTGCGTGCACTGCCCGCATCCTGCATCATCACTGTCGAAGGTTTGATAGGAAGCCCAAAATTTCTGCTCAGCGGCCGTCGATGTAGCCGCGCACGGGCTTTGTGTCCGACATGGTCGAAGCGACGAGAGCTCGACTACGGTGCAGGTTAGGGCGGCTAGGGGTGCAAAGTTGAAGCTTGCAGGGGTTTTACATAGGTTTGCCCATGCAGCTGCTCCTCTGCGACTTGTGCTCCCAACATCTTCGATGTCTCGAGAAAAAGGGCATCGAGGCGGCTAATGAGCCTAATTGAAATGCTTGCAAGGAGTCGTGGTGCCCATCGTCATATCGCTTCGAAGTCCAAGAGCCTCCCCATGCATCCTGCACCTCTCACCCTGCTTTCCACAAGTCACCTGTGCTGCTGCTATGGGCTCCGATATCAAAGTTCGTCAATGTTACAGTGCCACGTGCTCCCCCATCCTGCTGAGATTACTGCCATGAAACCCTTCGATGCCGAGCCTATCCTGAACTCCCACCCGTCTTGTGCCAGCTTAGCCACAGCTTGCGTGACTCGACGAGTCTGAGAAGGTCCACAGCCTGCTGACATTACAACTCGAGGGTGAATCTTGCCTCCCGCCTGGCTGGGACGAACCTACAAGGCAGTGTACATTAAAGACAGCTCGAGCTGTGCAAAGCTGAAGTAGGTAGAATTTCCACTGGCGGTCCGAATCAAGAGCTCCGGCCTCCTGCGCCAGGAAGTCGCCACCCTGCATCGGATTTTCACTGAATTTGGTCGGGCCTTGAGCCCTTCGGGCAACCCGAAAACTGCAACTGAACCCAAGCAAGCCTCCTGCAGGAAGAGGAGCCGTGAAGCATCCCAAATCTCCGAGTTCACCTGCAATGTTGACCATGCAGATTACAGACTGAGGGCCATGGCCATGTCCTTACAGATTCGACTTGCGCTTGAAAGGGAGCAAAGGGCAGCCGACTGCATTGGTACATCTGCAGTTATGAAAGGGAGCATTCGACTTAGAAGGTTTGGCTCTCGCATGGCTGTCCCAAGGATCAACCCAGCAGGGGACGACAGTCGACGCTTCCACCTCCTATCTCTTGCTATGCTGCTGATGATCCCTACGCTTGCAAACTGTATGCTCTGGCCTCGTAAAGCATCTGCACGTCCTTCACCTGGGATGACAGGTTCCAGGAAACCTCTTCGTGAAGAGCTACTTGCAACCAGCTTCAGTCAAGGGCCGTCGCCCGATTCGGGGCTCTCAGGAACAAGTCAGTGGGTACAGTGTCGTGAGGCATCTCGTTTTGGCAGTGTCTGGCGCATGCCGCTGTAACTCGAATCCAAACTTTGATTGACGGAATCGGCACTGCTGCCCTTTGCCAAATAACATGTAAAGCACGGTATAATCGCGAAAACCGGCTACATAAACTGAGGCTTGAATGAGAACACGGCTTCCAACATCATTGTCAGTCTTAACAGTTCCGGTCCTTTCAGGATTTGATCCCTTTAACGGTCTCACAACCAGAGAAAGACTGGTTGTGCTTCGAGACCAACTTCGTATAACAATTAAGGGCAGCCCTTGAAGTGCAAAGACCGACTTCTCCAAGAGACCATGGTGAAGTGCTGCGCATTGTCGGTGTGCAAGATGGACTCAATGCAGACTTTGCGCACATCGAAGTACCTTGTCGTAATTCAAGCAGGGACCAGTGGGCAGCTGCCAGTGTCCATTTCTGCCCATACACAGTCTTGTGGCCCAAAGGAGTCAGCCTGTACAGTCAGAGCCTAAACCAGCCAGCATATGCCTGTCGACCCATATCGAGGTGGCCTTTCAAGGCATGCGGTGGCTATCAGTACAGTGCGGAAAGACGTTTGGCGTCCCTGCTCACCACCTCACGTATATCATGGCATGGCGCATTAAATCCCACTTATGTAACAGCCTGGTCAGGAGCCAACTTGTCTGATGCTGCCGTCATGCTGGGTCTTCGACAGCGTGGAGAAAATGTTGCCTGAGTTGCAAAGGACATGCAAACGAACACAACGAAGCACACCTTCTCAGCCTGCTGGGATGGCACGGGGCAAACTGACGCTGCGAACAGCCACGACGCAACGCGAACTTCCGGAATCAGGGTCTACAACGCCAGATCCACTCCCGCGATCGACGTGACCCTTCGTGCGTCTGAGGTAGTATGTTCGGCACACTTTCCTGTGCATCCGCCCGTATTGTTGCCGAACATGAGCTGCTGGCAAGCGTCATCTGGCCTGACTCACAAGCTCGAACATCTTGGAGCAGTGCATGTTCTCCAGAGGCGATTTATCCTGATCGACTGGCTTCGGCTGGACATTTAATAAGCCAGGAATCACGCAAGCTAGCAGGGAAGACATCAAGCAAGCAAGCGAGCGAAAGGGTTCAGGCATAACGAGCTCCAAACCTGCTGAGCAGGAAAACTGTGTCCCTCAAGGCACGTGGACCAAAATCCCTCCCAGGAATCGAAAGCCCCAGCAACACAGAATGAGGCTGGACAGCCCCCTCGGCACAGACAGGCAGGAATAGAAAACAGAAGCAGGAGAAGAAGAAGTAGTAGTAGTAGTAGTAGTAGCAGCAGCAGTAGCAGTAGCAGTAGCAGTAGCAGTAGTAGTAGTAGTAGTAGTCGTCGTCGTCGTCGTCGTCGGTAGTAGTAGCAGTAGTAGTAGCAATACTAATATTGTCATAGCCGTAATCGTACAAGTAGTTCAATCGTCGTCGTCTTCGGTCGTCGCGAGGAAGAGAGAGCGAGAGAACCGGCGAGGCAGCCTTCAGCTTGACATGACGGGTCGAAGCAGTGGCCGGCAGCCAACGATGCATCCGAGAGTCGTTGTAGCGCAGAGCCAACTCGTGGGACGTTTCGATGAGGAAAACATTGTTTAGTCCTTCCCAGTGCATGTTGGTGACAACAGCATGGGGGCTCTGTCCGGGCTGTGACGCATCAAGCTGCGAGTCCACATCCTGCTTGTTCATACAACACGATTGCGATGCAGCAGCCTGGCTCAAGACGAATGAAACAAAAAGCGCGGCCGTCATGCTACTCATCATCATGACGCGGTCTTCTTCCTCCTCCTCCTCCTCCTACCATCGCCGTCGACATCATCATTGTCGTGGTCGACATCGTCATCATCATCATTGCCATCGACTATTCTCAGCAGATTGCCAAATAGCCATAGTCCGCCATAGTCATAGACCAACTCCTGGGTGACCAAGATCGTGGCAAACGGCACTGGCCAGGAGAGCATACCTGAGATGGGTCTACTTCGGGGACGAGGCAGTTCAAGCTTGATGAATGTGTGCCACGGCTGCCCTGCCGACCCCAAGCCCAACCCCCTGTCAAAGCAGCAGCGGCACCTCTCTTCCCGTGTCAGAAAGACCTGCCAGCATGAAGGGCTTCAGCAATGTTCGACGAGTCTTGGATTTAAAACTGATATGCGGGTGCATGGCCATGCTGCTTTCAGAACCTGCGAATTCGATTCCTCTAAGTTAGAGCAAGGTTTCCTGCCTCCTACTTCGCATGGACAAGCCTGCGTGGCAGGGTAGTCAGGTAGTCTGGTCGAATATGCTGTCATCACCCGCTTCGGTAGAGTATCACGCTTACAGGCCTAGTGCGTGAGATCCAGTTTGAATGACACAAGGGCTTCGGTGTCCAAAGAGACGACACTTGCATTCCCCAAACCTTCCCCATGCTTGCAGACAGGACTGCAAGCGGCGTAATTACGAATTGCATCTCCTCAATCCCGATTTTGTCTGACTTGTATTTCTTGTTTTGGAAAGCACCTGTACTGTTCCCCATGCCTAGGCCTCTCACTGGCAGTTGTCCACTTTCGCAGTAGCTTGCCCACTGACTCACAAGTATTCAATCTCATGGTCACAGGTGCAAAACCAATCTGCATTTGACGCAATAAGCATCTTGTGCGTCCCGAAGCAATCTCAAACCTGATGGTGCGGTCGCACTGCTGCTGCTTGCACCGTTTGCGCAAGGCCACGGCATTGTATCTTCGAGGGGGAATGTTATCCGAAGTCAGAAAACTCCCCCCATTCCCTTTCCTGTCCGACGGCCTCAGCAATGCACATTTGCAGTAGCCGATAAACGGCGTGGGCGCAGTCGACTGCCTTACTTCGCCGGGCGGGTCTGGTGTTCCGCGACTGCCATAGCAGTCCGTCTGAGATGCCCATGATGATGCTTTACGCTTGAAGCCGAAGACATCCTGCAGAAGAAGCTATGGGGAACACGCTGCATAGACGTTGTACTGTGTGGCCCCTCTACCAAACCCTTGTTGTCCTTAAGGCAACAGATCTTCCGAAGATATTGTAACCACCTGGAGCAGTGCTGCAAGTCCATATGGCAGAATCTTTAAGCCAGCTCTGAGACAAACCGAGTTGCATGGAACCAATTGTGGTACGGAGCAGACTTCACATAGCCTTGCAGAGACAGCTCTTATGACTGAGGCATCCCTGTTGGGGCGCTTGTGCAGAGGATTACGGACTCTCCCTTAAGCCTACGAGAATTCGGCACAAGGACTTAACAAGCTGCTCTGCACCATGTTGCTGCTCCAAGATCTTGCCAACAGTGCTCAGTTTTCAATACGCCCTCTCTGTTGCTGTGCTTCGTGCAACTGAACAGTCCGCATGCGAACCCGTCAAAACGCCAGAGCAGTGCTGATTCGGAGATCTCCCAAAACTACTGCGAATCCAGACAATGTGAAAAAGAATTGCCGGGGCCGTGACCGGACTCGGCCTCACTGAGAAAATTGCCCATAATGACCTGGAGCTGCCAGCCACATTCTTGGTTTGGCAGTGGCTACGTTCGAATGATAAGGGCAAGTTTCTCGGGCCAGTGTTGTTACGAGTATGCAGGTCTTCGAAGCAGATCGGTTCAGAATATCGGGGTCAGCTGCCTCAAATGGGTTGAAGACCACTCCGGTTGCATAGTGTTCCCCAGAGGCAACTTCCAGACCGCATGCAGCCAAGCAGTGGGCGGCAGCAACGTCCAGCCCGACCATGCACTGTGCATCAGTGCATGCAGGGCACAGAATCAAACTCCACGCCATGGTTGTGCGAGCTGCAGAAGTACATGGCCTCGAGACTCACAAGGTCACCGGTAAAGGCACAGCTAGAGGGTGCCGGAGCAACTCGAGGTTCAGCTTACTTTCAGCTGCGCGGCCGCCACATGGTTCCTCAATGCAGAGCAGTGGTTGGCGATTGAGTTTGGAGCGTGAACACGGCATGTGGTCGCCCTTCCGAATGGTGCCAGGAGATCACTGAGTCGTCATGAAGCATGTCCGGATAGGCTACCCTGCAGACAAGCTTCCGAGCTTTATCCAACCTCAGAGCGACAGCACTGCAAGAGCTCGACCGAGTGGGAGGCGAGAGCAGCAACGACTGCTACGGAGATTTTTCGGTTCATCCATGAGGGGTGGTCCGGGAATGGAGTCCTACTGTGGTCCTTTCTTACATCTAGACTTGATGATTGCCAGTATCCGGGTGTACCGTATCCTGCTCTGACCTGCTTTACAGAAGTGAGTGCCTCAAAATTCATGCTGAAGTCTGCCTTCAATTCCCTCGTGAGGGCCTCTTCAAGGCGCCTTTGGAAAGAGAAAACTCTTCGGGAGAGTGGCTCCAAGGGATTGAGGTTCCAGGAGTCCAGCAGCTCCATGGAGAGGCCTGCATTCTCCACCATGGCCTCGAGCAAGGGCCGCGATCGTCGTGATTGCACTGTGCCGATCGGCCCGAACTCCTACTTCAAAGGCACGGCACACGCTGCGCGAGCTCGATGGACTCCATGTCCAAGGCATTCTCCTTGGCTTTGATCTGGTGGCTTCTCGAGACGCGTCGTGGGCTTCATTCGTATGCAGCGGCTCAAGACCCTGACTGGGTTCATCCGAGCAACCATCTCATCGCCGCGATCGAAAAGCTTGTCCTATTCGGGAAATTGGAGGTAAAGCAGCACCGCTCCTCCTCCTCCTCCTCCTCCCCCTGCTGCAGCTGCAGCTGCTGCTACAACAACAACGACGACGACGACTACCTCTACCACTACCACTACTGCTACCTGCAACCTGTTACCTTCTACCTGCTACCTACTACTCCTCCTCCTGCCACTGCCACTGCTGCTCGTGCTCCTGTCACTTCTAAAACAATTACAACTCAGCCTGCGCAGGGAGGCCGCCCTGGAAGCCGGAGATCACGGCCCGGTCGTTCTCGGCGAGATTCCTGAATTTAGGGGTTCGGGTGATAGACAAGATCTGAAACTACTGCTTGGAGCCGGTGAAACCGAGCTTGGAGCTGTTTCCCGTGACTTCGGAGCAGAGGGGAGCTGGCGGGAAGGAATTGAAATTCAACACAGCATCTGCAACAGCTGCACGTCGAGCATGGGCTTGTTCATGGTGATCTCGCCTTGCGAGTCTCTGCTCTGCCAGTGCAACAGCTTCTCAGACGGATAGCATCTTCTAAATGGAGAGTGCACGTAGAAAGCTGCTCCACAGACCCGGACGGCAAAGAGCACTCAAGGCAGTCAAAGGAGCTGATCACTGCAAGCTTCTGCACGACCTGGCTTGAAATGTGCAAAGATACTATGTTCGTGGGAGGACGCAAGTTGGCTGTTCCGAGCAGCAGCTCTTGCACACACATGTTATCCAAATCACGCCCGGTTTTGAAACCGCTTCTGACACATGCATGCCGAAGCCCTCCGATGAAACTTTAGTCCGGGCATAACACACACAGTACAAGTAGAGGAGACTGTGTGTGAGGCAGGCGAGGAAGTTTGAAGCCCCAACATCACAACGTGCGGCATACTTGAGCTTCTGATGACATGCTGATTCAGTATCAGGACCTACTTCGGAGAGTTCTGATTTGCAAGGAGTTTCGCCGGCTATGACACTTTTCAGGTGCTTCTCCGATATGTCGGGCATGGTGGTCGTGGTCGGGCAGGCGCAAGCCATGGTAAAATGGTAAAATACGGCCATCCCTTGAGCGGACAAATCTCGCAATCGCAACAAGCCCCCTTGACCTTCGCTAGGAGTTGCGTCTCGTTGCCGAATTTCGTCTCATGGAGGTCATCCTGGGCAGGGCGCTTGCCTAGCTCCAATAGTCACGTGCTGCCCACATGCTTCTTCCCATACTTTATTGGCTACTGCATGTCTCTGGGGGTGTTTCGGGCCCTCAACCTCAGGGAGTTTAAGGATAATGTCTTGTCTGTCGGCGTTTAGTCTGCACATCGTCGTGCGCACAGGTTCGCCCGACAGGCTGGGTCTTGGAGATGCAGGGCTAGCCTAAACCCTCATGGATGCTCCCCTAAAACCCGAAAATCTACAAAGTTACACCCTAAGGCCCGAAGCCCCAAGCACCCTTGACTTCAATGGTCGACGGGGTCAGGTCGAAGCTTCAAAAGAATCCTTCATAGCCAAGCACCTGCTCGGAGTTCGCCTCGTTCGCCGGCTCTTTCATGACGACCTCCATGTCCGTGACAGACCTTCCCAGGGCCCAACGCTCCAGTCCAGGCGGCATTTGTCCCCCATTTTCCGCTTCAATGCAAGCGTGTGAAGGTTTCAGGTACGGGGTTAGTCCTACACTTAGGGGTACAGCCAGCGAGGCTTGAAAAGCCTCACTAAGGCAACGCTTGACCTTTTCAATGAAGGTCTCTTCTTTCTAAGCTGTCTGTGCGAGAAGTCTCATCCTTGAACCTTATCGAAACTGCGCGCAATACTCACGGAGGGTCTGTCGCTTGGCCACACATGAGACCTAGGGTCCGCGTGAAAATCGAAGGCTTTAGCAGCATCTCTTGCCATCCAAGAATCAAGGAACCCGAATGCAAAACAAACACACTCCAAACCTCTCCAAATCAAACCCAGTGGCTGAAAGATCGTCGATGCCATCTGCCTCACCTGCGCAGTCAGAACTGCCTGCCTGCTTCGACTCAACAAAGAGTTTGCTCTTTGGTGCTGGCGCCTTGCATCAACTGTAATCGAGAATCGCCGAAGCCTGTCTAGGAACCCTTGCATGCTCCCGTCCCGATCCTGATAGCAAAGGCTGCGATGCCGGCTCATGTGTGATGATTGCATGATCTACAGTAGATGGCTGATACACAATGGGACCGTGCAAGCCGTTTTGCTTTCTAGGTGCGGGCGTCAAGGCAGTGTTTCTCGGGCGAGGAAGTACCACAGGACGTGCATAAAGTATTACAGCACACCCAACAAGAAGCTCAGTCCTCCAGCCGAAGCGATTCCAAATGCTGCTGTGCAGTCCCAGAGGCAAGCCAAAGACCCTCTGAATGCTGGCACCCCGTGATTGGGGTAGACTTCAATGGACAAGAGGTTAAAGCAGGAGAAACACCAAAGAACTCAACACCTGTGAACGAAGGCGAAACTCCTCTGCAGCCTGAGTCAGGAGCTGCTCCAATGGCTTCAGTACGATGCTGGATACAGAATTCGAAAGAACCAGCGAAAAGCCAATCATCCTTAGCCAAGATGCGCTGCTCGGCTCTGGTGTTATACGATTCTACGAGACAAGACTGCGGCTGTCACCACCCCAGAGAGCACTGACACTTGATCCAACCTGGGTGCGGTTTTCAACTAGCACTCGATGACTTTTCCATCACGTGGAGTGCGCCATGCTGACTACAAAACACTTCACTAGCAGACAAAAGTATGCGAGTGGGTTTCAATCGGCCACCTCGGAAGTCTTCTGAATTCAGCACAAGGCACAGGCATCGACAACAACAACAACAACAAGAAGAACAAGAACAAGACCAAGAACAAGAACAATAATAACAAGAACAAGAGCAACAGCAACAACAACAACAACAACTGCTGCTGCTGCTGCTGCATGATGGCAGTACGACGTCAGCACCCTTCAGCAACAGAGGCTTGTGGGCGTCTATTCACGACAAGCGGCAGGACCATGACTAGCAGGAGCAGCACCACCTCGTGTTCTCTCATCGGGTTTCTTTCTAGGCTCGAAGACAGGCTAGGCATTGAGTCCGAGGCGGTCTGGGAGGAAGTTAACTAAGGGCTTGGTTGGTTTGGGTCTTCCATGGACTTCCTGTGTGGAGCCCGACATGAAAGCTGGCATGTCGTCAAACTTGGCATGTAAGATTTCTGCTCAGCTGCAAAGTCTTCAACTACCGATGGTTTCTTCGTCGCGCCAGTTCGAAGTGTTGCTACTATACGGCCCGGCCCTCTTTATAGCGAACTACGGGAACAATCTCTAGACTGTAGAACCTACCTACCTACCTACCTACCTACCTACCTACCTACCTACCTACCTACCTACCTACCTACCTACCTCTCCTGTAGGCATAGCCGTGCTGCGTTCATCCACGCATCGAGCCGATTTGGCTCCGAGAAATCAAAGTCCACGAGGATGTGTGTGGAACCGAACACCTCGCAGCATCCAGCCGTGAGCGTTTGAGACTTTCGGCTTTGGGGCTCAAGCTTGACTACAGTAGCCTTTATGTCCTCCGTCTGAGCTTTATGTGGCTTGATGGGAAAGAGCTCAACAGCTCGGGTATTGACATGATAATTGTACGCATTAGAATCATTAGAACTACACATCTTTTGGCACTCGCACTCGCCGACGTACACATACACAGCTTCGAGCAAGTTCTCTGTTTGTCAACAGAACACGTCGTCGTCATAAATTGAATGTTCCCAAGGCTTACATCCTGCACCATCAAGATAGCAACAGTTCGATTGGAATCACGACAAGCTGTTGCCATGCCAGGTTGTTCACACTTCTGTGTCACTGTGAACTGCTACCAGGTTATGGCTAATCACTGCTAGTCTCTCAACGTGCAAAGGCACCACGCTGTTGCTGATCCGCTTGGGCGGCCCAGTCTGGGCGATCCACGGCAGAACCTGCCGCCCCACACGGTTCTTTTGAGCGGCCATTACAGGACTCGATGACTTTTCGCAACGCGAAACACTTCGAACTGAAAGGCCGGATCCCAGGCTTGATCGACTGCTAGTGGAGCCTCAGCACACGGTGTAGCCAAGAAAAACTAAATCGAGCCAAAAGCCCTGCTTGGTACAGCCTTTGAAGTGGGAGATGTCTGCGTGGCTCGGAACCAAGGTTGCATCCTACACGGTGCGAAGCCGCCTCTTAGACTCTTCACAACCACGTTTCCTGGAAGGAGGAAGCCAAACAACTCTTGTCTGAAGAACAGACCAACAAGCTCACATTCGTCTGAACATGGCAAGCAATTCGAAAAACTCCAAAAAGCTCGACACAAAGCCAAGAACTTGATACCTGCAGGACTTCTGCTGGGTGCGTTAGGTCGCTCTTGGCGCGCACGCGCCATGGGAAGTAGGACCTGACTGTCTGAAAGAAACAGTTTTTCAATAGGATCACTTCCAGCTTTGAATTTGATGGCTTGGGCACGCGCTTGGCCAGATAAGCTCAACAAGTGCCTAAGGCGTACCCGGTACCCGTGGTTTGCTAGATTTCCAAACTCCACTCTGAGCTGTCAGAGTGACATCTCGAAGTGAATACCATCGAAGCGGCTTGGCTTTGTGCACCAACTTATACTACGATCCGGTCGTGTCTGCAAGTCCAAAACCGCTCAAATCGTTCGCGCAGAGCCACTTGTCACTGAAGAAGTTCACAAGCTCCTCGCGCGACTTGCTAATTTGTTTAATCACTCCCTTCAGTCTTTCCACAGGCAAGCGCCTCCATCTCGCTTGTTTGTTTTTGCTTTGCATGAATGCCGCCGAGTCCAACGTCTAGGCGGGCTCATCTCAATGGGCCAAGACAAGCCCTACACGAAGCCGAAAAGATCAACGCAAGTCAGTGGTTCGGGCATTGCTGCAGAGTCAGCAAGATGCCACCTTGCGATATCTTCCTACTGCCATAGACCCGTTGGCCCCCCCCCCCCCCGAGCAGGGAGAGCACTGCTGTGCGTTCCAATTCCGAAGTACATCATCTGTTGTGTTTAGCCTTGATTCTACTGCTGTTGAGATTCCGATTTTCATCATGGTTGACCTTCATGATCGATGATCTTGCTTGCTTTCAACTTGAACGGCTGATGCATGTCACGGCGGCTGTTTGTGTCGTCATGGCTACGCTACTTTCTCCCTAGCTTACTTTATGCTTCCCTGTGGACAGCTACACCGCAACATTGAAAGATGGGGGTGGGGTCATACCTACTGAAGTCGACTTCGCAATGCAAAGGCCCGTCGCTCTCGGTCCTACATCGGGAATTCGACGCCCGCTGTAGCTGTTTACGGTGTTGGCTCGCTTGACTGCAGGCGTCGGGCGAGGCTTGCCCACCAACAACCCTTTTGACTAAACCCTAAAGCCAAAACCCCTAAACCCTTTTGCATCCAGGACTCTCGCAACCAGCCGAAACCCCTAAACCCTAAAAACCACGGTCCTGGAGCTGACCGGGAAAGTGTTGTGCGGAGCGAGAATAGCTCGCCTCCTTGGTCCGTGACATGGAGTTCCAACAATGATGGCTGGTCTCCCGTTCTTTCCGGTCAAGCTGTGTAAGCATTTTAACAAAACTCTGGTTCTACCGAGCTTTGAGTCCTCTCAAACGCCGCAGCCTCACCTCAAACCATACAGCAACTGCAGCGCAGGAGCCAGGATGTCCATGAAGGAATGAGGGGACCAATCCTGGAAGTTCATAGGACTTTTTGCACGGCTTTTCCGCGTTGCTTGCCTTGTAGGAGTTCCGTGTAGGAGTTCCGTGCACCCACAAGCCTAGAGAGCCGCAGGGGCCAAACTGACTGAAGCTATACCTGGATGTTGCTGTGAATAAACTCTCGCGGGTGGCTGTGTGCAGTCGTCCAAGGCCCTTCCCAAGTCAACGTCATCGCCCGACTTCCAACCCGAGAAGCAGCAAGGGCGAGCAGACATATGCAGGCTGTGGCTATGATTACCGGTCACGAAGTGGGACAACGCTTTGCCTCGGAATGAAGGGCCAGGATTGCCACAACACTGTGACAGTGGCAAACGGAGCAGCCGGAGAACCGGCAGGTGACTCAGGCAGCCAGACAGGGCTGAACTTTCAAACTGCTGGCAGTTCCCATGCACCGTTCAGCACCCCTCAATTCAACACATGCCACCTGAAGGTAGATTTAGCTACACGATTCCTGTAAGTATTCTTGTGGATGGCTCTGTCCGGCAATGGGCGAACCCTGGTGCGCAGGTGAGTGCGAGCAGCTAACAGACCCAAACTTGAAGCGCCAAGTTCCCCCGTCCTCTTCGGGGTAGGCCCAAAGGTTGAAAAGCGGCATTATCATGACCTTCAGGCGGTGATCATGCCATGAAGGCTCTATTTCCTTCTTGCTAGACTCTGCAAACATGCCTGCAGCCGTGAAAAGCAAACATTCCATGCAGCGGCAACTATCTGCATGGCTGCAGATCATGATCGCAAAACCTGACTTCCATAGCTGACACACCCTGAAGCATGTTCCAGACTTTTTCCAATGAAGATGGCTTCAAAGCCACAAGCCCCCGGTCTCGTCATGCCCAAGAACCGCTGAGCAAAATCGGAAAAAGTGCTCAACTCAAAAGGTCGTAGTTCGTTCCATTCCGCTTGCCGGCCCGCCTTTGACCAAAGTCTCGCAACCAGAAGACCCAAAAGCTGTACACCACAAAATTCTGACCAAAAGGCCAGCAGAATGATCAGGCAGGATGTTCGTGTTGACCTAAGGGCTGGGCTTTCAGGTCTGAGCGGAGCGTCGATGCAGCCGTCAACAGTCATGCAGTGTTTGATGGCCCACACAAGGGCATCAGAGGCTTGCAATATGCTGACATATGGACGGTTTCGACTCACACACACACACACACACACACACCCTGTAACAAGGCAGGCATGGCATCACGACGTCCGAGCTTGGGGTTTAGGGACAAAGGGTTCATTCAGTCTCTGTACTGCAGATGCCTAATTTGCGTACGCACTACCAAGTTCATCCCGGTCGCAATGCCGTGGTCAATTTCGAAGAGATGAGCTTCGCCTGGGATACTGGTGCTGGTGATAAAGCAGTGAAGTATATTCACAACGCAAAAACAGCTTCTCCTTGCCTCAGTCATTGCTGTTGGCGTTTCTCTTGTGATTGTTGTTGCCATGTTGTTACTGTTATTGTTGTTCTTGTGGTTCTTGTTATTGTTCTTCTTCTTCTTCTTGTGGTTGTTGTCGTTGTCGTGGTGGTGGTGGTGGTGGTGGTTGTCGTCGTCGTCGTCGTCGTTATCATAAGACTTGTGGAACTCGTGCATGCGAGTGCGCACAGAAGTACCGTGAGCAGCAGGTTGCTCCGCTTAACCTTGCGGTTTCCAAACGGCGACCCGACATGTCCATCAATCCTCCCAAATTGGCGCTCCTACTTGGGCTCCCATGGCTGGTAGGTGTCCGGATATGTCGCAAACTTCCACAACAAAAGCTGTGTATGTATGTATGTATGTATGTATGTATGTATGTATGCATGTATGTACATAACCAATGGTTCTTCGTTACCCCCCCCTTCCCGTGCATGGCCAAGCCAGTCCTCTCATCCGAGCAATTCCGAACAGATCGAAGATACCTGCAATACCTGCTCCGGGCATACATTCGTATTACAACGAGGTTTGCCGAAACGCTACTCTGCCGAAGGGCAGTCCCGGCTCCGTCATCCACAGAACCCATTCCCGGCAGAAACCTGCAAGGGGGTTGGTTCAGGATGCGATGCTTGCAGCCTGCATACTCCAACTTCCTCGAACCCCAAAGCCGACGTAGTCACACGTAACCTGGCAGCCTGAACATGTTCGGTGAATGTTGAAGTCCCGACTTCTGTGCTTTCTGACAGCTGTTGCTGCCATCCTGGTCTCACGTAGCCAGAGAATCATCGACGTGTTGAAATTCTCCCGAAAATCCCAACTCCCGGGCAGTGAAAGCAGTCGCAGCAGCCCTTGCCCTGGTCTGTTTACGCCCCGCTGGCCTCAGCAGCTTCATCCTTAAATTACACGAAGGACAGGAAAGGCCCTTTGAGGTGGACACAATCGGCAAGCAACCGAGGGGCGACGTCTTTCCTGCAACTCACCGACTAGAGTCTGGTCCTCCAAAAAGGACGCAAACCCCACAGCTAATGCCTGTGCAGAAGCACAACAGCTAAACTCCATCAACGAAGGACAGCTTAAAGCCATGCCCAGCATCAACTTCGTGAAGCGCCCGGCCCGGGCCCCCAATTTCGCGATGCGGGCCTCTTGCTTCTAGGGTGCTCAGGCCATCACGTCACAACGACTGAAACACGCTTGCAAAGCTGCATTCTGCCTCGGCTAGCAAACCAACATTAACCCACAAACAAGTCACCGAAGCAGTATTATGACCGTGCGTCCGTAGAAAGCTAGCAGCTAGGATGCTTCTAGCAGCGAGGGCGAGTCAAGCGGAGGATGATGGGATGCTACACCCTGTGTTGAAACGACGAACAACGGGGATGCGATGGCTACCGGCAAGTCCTTCAAGCTAGGACTCTTACGCCATGTCTGCGGCCAAAGTGCTGCTCGCATGATAATTACGTTGTTGGACACGCTGTCCTCAGTCACCTCAGTCACACCCTTACTGACCGCACGATGAGTCAAGAGGACTCTGCAACGGTACTAGTTCATGTATCGGTGCAACACCTTTATTCACGGTGGCTCAAGCACTGGGCGATCGAAGCGACTACGGCTACGGAGCCCTGACGAATTAAACAAAAGTCACTAACCTCGGCCCGAAGACATCGTCCTGGCACGCTGCGATCGCTGGAGCACCGCAAATTACAGCTGTGGTGCAAACCTTCGAACACGTGGCAACTCTGGGAGCCCCGCAGGCTCATCAGAACCGGTGATGTAGGAAAGGTCTAGCAGCAAAGATGCCTTGGTTTCATCACGAAAGGAACTTGGCATCAGACCATTCGTGACAGTGACGGTAATTCCATGCACTGCTGTGGCCCACGCCGGCCCCCAGCAATTTCATTACCCAACCTACTGTACGCTCCAGAGCCGCTTCTGAAAGTTCGATCCTTAGCTTGCCATGCCCATGGCCGACCAAAGTGCCGCCCCGATCAAGTCCTTGGCGGATGCAATGAAGAGGTGTGTTCAGGATCCTGCTTTTCCACCGTGGCATCAACATGCGCCGGTGCCATGTAAGCTGAAGACTGGTCAACTGCAGGGTGGGTGTTTGAAGAACACTGTGCCAGGACACAGGAGAGTCTGGAGCAGCTAAGTTGTTGGAGTTTCGTTTAGTTTCGAGGAGGTACGGACAAGCAGCCATCCAGAAGAAGAAGGAATTCGGATAGGTCTTCCTGAGTGTTTGATCATCATCCAAGCATGCTTGCAAGTCAATTACCCAAGCTGGCCCCAATGCATGACCCTGCGGGAAAATAACATGCCTGTTTATGAAACATGCCCGCCATGCCGGTGCGAGCAACCGGCTCCAGCCGTGCTGTTGAAACTCCTCCACAGCAACAAGTGCTGGGTGGAACCTCTCATTTAGCAATTTGGCCGGCCACTTGCTGGCCAGCTTCGGCATGCCGATGGACTGTACAAGCAGCTCGAAGATGAAAGCCACACCAACCTGACATGTCGCGAGGCTCACGACATCTGCCTATTTCGAGCACTCCGGCATCTGAACGGGCAGAGGGACACCTGAAAGCGAGGCAAACACTTTCCATGGTTGTCCAGAGACTTGGGGTGAACAGTTGCAGTAGCCTCAGTTTGACTTCAACCCCTTGGGTAATCCGAGGCACTAGAGTCAGCAATATGTCGAGGTCGTTGTTGTTTGGACGGTCGAAAACCACCCAAAGGTCCTTAGCGGTCTTTGGAAGACCGGCTTCGGCCCAAAGCGCCGTAATCTCACCCTCATGTCAGGATCCTTCATGGCGCTGTGGATGCACTATGCTTTGGTTGTGGTTTTGTTGCATAGTGCCGGGTTCTGCATTCTTTGCCTAAGGAGGCTTGTGTACTGTGGTTCTGGCTCGGACAAAAACGCCTTTCTTGCAGCTAGCATGATGTCAAGTGCCCACTCTCGCGCAAAATCTCGTGCGACGCCGCCTCTCGCATGCTCGCTGGAGTATGCACACCAACCCCTCGGATTGCCTCGACCGTACCGGTTCGCCGAAACCGAAACTGAATCGAACTGCTACTCCAAGAGCACCTGAATTGCTGACCGCTTCTCTCCTTGCACTAAGCTCTTCGTGTGCAGCCAGGGGCTGGTAAGAAGAGAGCCATGAGGAGAGATATGAACATGCAGGACTGAAAGTACCTCAGAAACGCATTGACCCAAAACACTCTGCTTAGTCTGCATGGTTCACTTCTTCGATGCGGTTGGATGAAAGATTTGGGGGAAGCCTCAGCTGCAAAACATCACGGAGGCGTGGCAGTTGAGGGGCCTGATGGAACGCAAAGAACGAAAGATGGATCTGTACTTTCCTGTTGCTTACTATAATTTCGAGGAGGGGTGGCAAAGTCGATACAACAGAGTGTCACCATGAAACCAAAGCGTTCCGAAACTCTGTTCCAGCGGCTTGTTCAACACCAGCTGCCGGCATTTCGGCCCCAGCGTCCCCTTGATCCGAGGCAGGAGACCTGGCAATTTCCCGTGAGCTTGTTCAAAACTTGAACTCTGTCTCCGTTGTTGTGGTGACTGGTTTCCAGATACATACTCTGACAATGATGACGGCAATCCTGACGCATAACGGCCGCAGAAGCATTGAAATTGAATGCCAGAGAAGAAGCAGCCCGGCGAATTCTTGGGCCATGAAATCTAAAATCGCAGGCGAAACCGCAAACCTCTACCAACTCGCAGGCAAGTCACTGACTTTGCTCTCTTGCGGTTCCCCAGCGAGACCTGGCTGCCTCAAGATGCAGCAGGGAGCACAACTCCAAATTGTGGATAACCACTCCTACTCCCCAAGCACGACGGCCACCTTTAGTGGGCGGCAAGCTGTGGCCGAATGCAGATCAAGCTGGAACAACAATCCTGTATGCTTTCTACGGTAATTTTTCCTGAGCTACGCCTATGCCTTCTTACTCGTCGGGTAGGGTATTGGCATGCAGATAGGTCGTGGATGAACCGTCACTTTGTCCGTAGTTGTGGCCCTTGGAATTGCTGAGCTGTGGATTTTCGGCCAGACTTGGCCAGTGCGTGCAGGTTTGGCCGATGCTACGTAGAGACACGCTCCGACCAAAAACGCAGAATTAACGTTCTTCAAACAGACCCCACCATGCAAGAGACAATGGTAAAGCCGGGTGTCGTCGAGGCCAACTGCGGCGGCGCGGATCCCGG